ATATTTTATTTCCTCAAGCTTGAGTTCTCACTGGCAGTCACTCCCTATGATCTGGGTCTTTCTACTTTCTCCTTTTTCAAGCAGATCCTCAAAGACTTCCAAACATACTGTCTACTACTGAACCATACTATCTACTCAATTACCTCAACCTATCCCCATCAAGAAAACCTTCACCTTAGTTGACCCAATATCATAATCAATCTTCCAGCTGACCAAGCAAAGGTCAAAAGCTGTCCTTCTCCTGGAACATTGTTGGCTGGAAGTCCAGAATAGATTATCATATTTTATAATTAATTAGTAAATACGATTTCATTTTGTTACAGGAGATATGGCCTCCAGAGCCTCCATTACTCTAAGACTAATCAGTGCGCTTTCCTGAAGCTGTTTTTGTTGATATAAGGGTACAAGATTGAGTAGGCATTTGTATATTTATATCAAATAATTTGCTGTCTCCAATTTCTAAGATGAGGGCAGGTGAGAAAAAGACATTATCCTCTAAGCTACATCAGGACATGAATGAGACAATTGCTGGAGTGAAGATTAAAAGAGAAGCATATAAATGTTGGGCATTTGCTGATGACCTGATGATAATTTTGGAATATCCTCTGGGAGCAATATACAGTAAATATTAATGGAAAAACCAAATGGTTGGTGGTGTTCACTGACTTTAAAATTAATAAACAAAAGACAAGGAAGTTAACAAGGAATATAAAAATGAATGGAATTGATGGAAAAAATGGTAGACATGCACACATATATACACAAACACATAGACATACACATACAGGTTGATTTGTTTCATCTATATATGACTTCTGGTCTTTTGACCATAATAAATTTTAAAATTGAAGTGAAGTAGTTCCTCTTCTGCTTTGTATAGATTTTTAATCCTTCTATAACATTTACTTGGTTTATCTTTTTCTTTTCTTTTTTCTAGTTTCCACAATAAATGGCATTACCATTGTCACATGTATTTATACATTTCTTAACACTATATATCTTTAAAAATATGCTAAACACAATTAACTGAGACAGTATTGAGTTAAAGAAGAAAGTCAACAACTTTTGGTTAAGATCTTCAAAATATGATTCACCTGTTACATTTTCATGTCCCTAATATGAAACAATAAGTTGCATAATATGTGTGTTTTTAATATATTTTAATTGAGCAAGTTTTTGTATTTTTAAAAAAATAATTAAAAAATTTTCATCAAAATATGAAATACAGAAGATATGAATCAGTTTGTTGTTTAACTAAAAGCTAATTTGAAGATAAGTTATTATATCACATTCACTTACAAAAGTTTCTAAGGCAAGAACAGATAGTAAAATAGTTTCTCTTCCAGGTTATTGTTTTAAAAAGTGATAGGGAGGAATATATGTGATATGTGTGAAACTATAAATTTATGTAATAAATACATTATCATTTTGAGCTATGAATTACAGTTTTTATGAAGCAAGAATTTTTGTCTACTGGATTATTTGTTCTTAAAGTCCATTTCTAAGTATTTCCTGTAAGAATTGTATAGCAAAACCCCTGACGTTCATTTTTAAAAAAATATAAACTGGTTTTCCCTATTTTTCAGTATCTTGCCAAACAACTCGTGTATTATTTTGGAGCTTTAGGGCTTGTTCTAGAACTTTTTAAATTCTATGCAGGGAAATTGGTCTTCTATTTGCCGTAGTGCATTCACCACTTTTCTTCTCTAAATAACAGTTTCATAAAGGCTGTCGTCCTTTATCAAAATCAAGCTAAGGCAAGATGATTCCACTAACAGCCATGTAGCTCAATCCTCTTCTGTTTCTTTTCATCCACCACTGACGTTTTTAAGCTAAGATCTGAAAAAAAAGACCTCTATTCTTTTATAATCTCTCATATTACTCTGTTCTTAAATTCTTCATCTGATTATGAAACCAAGGATGACCATATAATAACATCCATAGGGTATAGTTACTAAATCCAATAATTTTGTTAGTTATTTGGGGGAAAAAATGAAATTTTGACTTCAGGTTTTGACAATTAAGTGGGTTATAGTTATAGAAATGGCTAGTGGTTGCTATTTGGCATAAATGAAAAGCTGAGACTATAACTTTATTATGTATATTACTGCCAATAAGTTGGAAGTTACTGCTTTTTGTTTATTTTTTATTTTTTTCCTCCCTTTCGTCACCTATATCCTCTTTTCCCTTTCCTGTTTTTCTATTGTCTTTATTTCTATTTGTATTTTATATTAATTAAATATATTTTATATTAATAAAAAAAATTAATAAAATATATATGTAGGCTAAAACCATTAAGTATCTAGAAAGACACAATATAGACAGAGGGAAGAAATGTCAGATGTTTGTCTACATATAGTTTGCCTTAAATGTGAAAATAGTATTTCCTTTATCTATTATCAAGGGCTAGTGGTAAAGAAATGATTGTTCCCCAGGATAGACAGTAACAAGTAGCTTTTTGAAAAATAACCAATGTACTTTATTTCAACGCTTTTTCCAAAGGACTATCAGCAAACACACTTCACTCTGTTCTTAAAATCCATTTTGTTGATTTGAAAATAACAATGCCATAACATGCCAAGGAACAATGATAAAATCAAAACACATCAATATCCTCTATGTGTTTCCTTGAATTTGTTATAGTATTGAATTTATTGTGTACTTTTTATATAACCATAGAAAAAAATATCCTACAGATTTTGATGAAAGAAAAATGGAATATATGTGTTTGTGTGCGTGCGTGTGTGTGTGTGTGTGTGTGTGTGTGTGTGTTATATATATAATTTATATAAGCATATAAGATTTGAAGTGGTTCTGTCAAGTGTAGGAAATCAAGAGTCCGGGCAGTTCAAATGAACATATAAGTTTATTGTATGCTAAAGTTCTCTACAAGAATCTGAACTACTAACAGTCAAAGCAAATTGGCAATAGATAAGAGTCAATAGAATTCAATTGCTTTGGACTTATATCTCTTGTGAGTGCAAAAAGACTCAAGACTGATAATGTGTTTGCCCTTTCCTCTGCCTGGTCATCTCCTACAAAATCTGTCTTATGTACTGTATATCTTACAGTGTTCTTTATATTTGCAAAAATTATATAGACTTTTCCACCAATATTATTCATCTTAGGGTTTTTTTTTCCCTATGGCTGTCATACTTATTTTTCAAAAAGCTAGTGTTGCTACTTATACTGGGGATTTGGAAAACAAAAAAACCTTTTGGCCTTTGCACCACAGATAACTTTGTAAGTGCCATTTATTTTTATTTTTATTTTTAGTGTGGGAAAGTTTGATGGTCATGGGGTGGTTGCAAACTTTTCTGTATCCAAAACTTTTCTAATTGTTTTTTTAAGAAACAAGGATGAAACAGAGAAAGCTTTTCAGATTAGCAGATGAGAGGAACATTTGATAGTGCGTGAAGACAGAATTCTTGCAATAAGATCCATCTGATATATCAAAACAAACTTGGACAATGAGCTGAAAATGCAAAATTCTTCACATAGGAAATATAAACATATAAACATATGATAGAACATACCTGTCTTGGCAACAGTAGCTCTAAAAAAGATACTGGGGTTATAATTAATCACAAATTGAATATGAAGGTAACATGGCTGCAAAACAAAAAATGTAAATTGCATCAATAGAACATAATTGTTGTGGCCCGCCAGCTGCCAGTAGAGCTGGCAGCAGACTTGGATGATGAGGAGGTTGGGGAGCAACTTGGGCCAGTTCTGGAGTCTGAGGAAAGCTCTGATGGATGTTCTGCATCGGAAGCAGAGATAGAGCCAGGGCCATCCAACATTTCCCACACACAGGAGAGGCAGCTGCCTTTGGAGGCTGAGATAAGTGGAGAGGAAGAACAGCTGGGGCCTGTTCCAGATGTGAGTACGTGCAGAGCTGTTAGGAGAGGAGAACAACTGAGGACAAAGAGTCGACTTGGGAAGCAAGGCACACGTGGATTCTGAATGGCTACTCCTTGGCGGGGGAATAAACAGAAGGAAAGGGGAGTGGTGGTTGTAGGAGACAACTGTTCGGATTTTGGAATATTTGGCTCATTGTTTTTCATGCCTCAGAGACTGCTTGTGAGAACTTAATTTACAGCTTTGCGGCTGGAAGCTCCCGGCCTGGCAAATATCTCAAGGAACTGATAAGGTCTGTTATGGCAGTCAACTCTTTCAAGGATTATTGCGTGGACTTTTTGGTGTGTGAATGCCATTAATTCACAGGAGATAAAATAAAGAGGGGTTTTTCGGGACAAGCAGTTTGTTTCTTGTTTCTGCTAAGGCTGGGTCAGAACAACAGTTTCCAAATTAAAGGGAAATAATTTTTATTCTATTCTGCATATGCTTGACCTCACCTCAGGTATTGAGTTCAATTTTGGAGATGGCAAACATATCAAGACCAAGAAAACTGGGTATATTCACATTTTTTGAATTATCATTCCAAACAAAACATGGCTTGTTTTCTGTTGTCTCAGGATGGATGAGGGCAGGAGGCCATCGCGGTTGAAAAAGGAGCTGCACACGGCCCTCACTGACCTCTGTTTTCACTGGCAGAAGCACCGCTGGCCGGTTCTTCGCTGTTTCTAGGATGGCCCCATGGGACAGATCTAAGCACCCAAGGGCTGGATCCAGACCCCAGGCCTTGAGTTTGACACCCCTGCTCTATGTATATCAGGGGTCCACAACTCCTAGTAGGACTGGTACCCGTCCATGGCATGCCAGCAACTGGTCTGCCCAAACAAGCGAAGCCCCATCATGGGATGCAAGCAGCACGAGAAAGCAAGCCCCCTCTGGTCCACAGAAAAAACATATCTCCCTGGAACCAGTCCCTGGTGCCCAAAAGGTTGGGGGCCGCTGCTGTATATTAAAGTTAAAATTGATAATTGACTATCTTGTTTCAGCTGGGAGAGTTGCCACCATACTTGTAACCATATGAATACAGAACTTGGGTTTCCTTCAAGAAATTTTTAAGCCTGAACCTTATATTGTTCTTTCAGTTAACACCAGTTGGAACCACGATCTTCACCGGATTCTCTGGAAACAGAGGTGCCACAGATATCGATGATGGACCCAATGGCCAGATAGAGTATGTCATCCAATACAATCCCAGCGATCCAGTATGTGAAATTTATATTTTCAGTAAATATTGTTGGAAGAAATTTTAAAAACAAAAGTAAAATACAACACATTAGATATACCTAATTTATTCTTTTATTAATTTAAATATATATTGAAAGACTTGAGTACCATTTTTTGTAATGTGTTTTCAACTCAGGTTTTGTCTGACTGCTATGGATGGAACAAAGTAATATTCTTAAAAGAGTTGGCATATGGTGGTGGCCATTCTTTGACTCAGTTCTGACTCTTGATGACTACAAGAACTAATCCCTTTAGTTTTCTTAGCAACATTTTACAGGAGTGGCTTGTAAGTATCTCCTTCCTAGGACTGAGAAAGAATGACAGGCCCAAAGCCACCCAGCTGATCTCCTTGCTCAAGTTGAAATTATTACTTATGGTTTCCTGTTTTCCAGTCCAGTTCTTTTAACCAGTTTACCAAACTGGCTCTTGAAGGAGATAATGAATCAAAAATGGCATAGTACTTTCATTTTTGAATAGAGAAAATCATAAAGTTTGAGGCTAGATGTTTTAATTATATATTATGATGAATGAATTAAATTTAATCACTCTTTTGGAGACTGTCAATGATCCATCTGTTAAAATAATAAGGAAGGAAGGAATAACTCTGTGAAGTCTCTGTGTTAAACTGAATAAAAGGTATAGTGAGGAAGTATACGGGCAAGTAAAGTCAGAGACCTTCTAATAAAAGAATAGAGTTAAATTTCTTTCTTTCATGAAGGCAGCATATTGAATCTAGGAAATACTGTATAAAAAGTCTTATTCGCAATTGGCAAAGAATATTGGCAAAATAATAAGCTGTTAATAACAATTTTCTCAATAAGTTTGAGCTATATAGTTTTCGGGTTAAATCATGACTCTTTCTGCCAGTAATCTGTGGCCTACAATCCGTACTTTCAATTCTAATGGGTTCTTTCAAAGTCAAATGAACTTAGATGGTGAGTATAACACCATAGGAATTTGAGTTATTATTCCAATTATCCATGAAGATGTAACTCTATCCCATAGGATCCTTGAGGCCAGAGGGCTCTCAAAATAGGTTAATATTTTTCTACCTGTGCAATTAGATCCAGCAGGAGATGTGTATCTAGGCCCCAGCCGAAAGAGACTTTTACCTGTTGGGATTCAGAAGGACAACCTTCTCTGCCATAGCCAGTCTTCAAATTTGACACAAATAAAATAAAATAAAATAAATAATAAACATGGCACCTTGGCAGATAATGATGAGACCATTTTATGGTTAGCTTGAATATTTATGAGTGCTCCTGGCTGCTATTTTAATGCTATTCCTGTTTATAATTTTGATTGCTTTTTTGTATTCTGTTAGCTGTTCACTACGTAACATACATGATGGGGTGTCAAACTCGAGGCTCAGGGGCCGGATCCAGTCTGCGGAGTGATTAGATCTTGCCTATGGGGCCACCCTAGAAACAGCAAAAGTCTGGCCCATAGTGCCTCTGCCAGTGAAAACGGAGCACTCCCAAGCTCCATTTTCACTGGCAGAGGGTTGCAGGAGGCCATCGCAGCCGAAAACAGAGCTCTGGGGACCATTTGTGCTGGCAGATCACTTGGGCCACCACAGGCATCCCTGACACGAGTGATGTCAAGCTGGCTACGTTCCCCCCCCCCCCGCTCCACCAAGATCAAACCCTGAGGTGGTCCTCAATGAAATTGAGTTTGACTCCCCTGATATATGAGATGAGTGGCAATAAACAAACAAACAAATGATTCTATTGTAGTCAAAGTAGAATGAGGTTTTAATGAAGAGTTAGATGCATATCTGGATAGACCAGTCAGGTCCACTACAAAGTATGAATGACTTTGAAGGACAGCACATTATGATGCCCTCTCTCCTTACTTAATGACCATAATTTGTTCCAGCAAAATGGTCATTAAGTGAAATGGTTGTTAGCAAATCCTGTCACACATACACACACACACACACACACACACACACACACACATACACACACACACACACACACACACACACACAGAGAGAGAGAGAGAGAGAGAGAGAGAGAGAGAGAGAGAGAGAATTGATTTTCTGTTTATTACCTTCGCATTTGCAAACACTTGCTAACTGAGGTCATTAAACAAAGAGTGGATGCATTTGGTAACCTGTGAGCTCCAGAAAGCTCATAGCCTTTGCTCTGTACATCTTGATGGCTTCCAGAAAAGGCCTGTCACCACAATTATTGGCAAATGAAAGAAAGTTCCATGGGAACAGGACTGGTGCTTCTTCAATTTTCAGAAAGATTAAAATTTCAATGAAGAAAAGGCCATTATTTTGTTTATGTTGCATCAGATTGGAAGAATCTACAGCAAATTAGTAAAACATATACACCCATCAAGATCACTTACATCAGACCAAAAATATCTGTATGTTCAATAGCCTAAGTGTACAAGGGTTTACTGTTCCTGACCTAATATATGTATGTTTCCACTCACAGTTATGTCACTCCATAACTAAAGATCGTTGTAGTTTTTCAAGTTACATTGTGCAGGGATGGAACAGCCAATACATAAATTAATTTAATTTAATTTAATTTAATTTAAATTAAATATATTTAATGGAAGAATGATGCAATTTTCATGTCTCACTTTTAACACATCAGCAGTACAGTATACAATAACCATAATGATATTAGAGTTAGGCTGTGTGAGCAGACTTTTATTTCTCCAACAGTTAGCTATTATTATCAATTTGCATCACTATAGCCCTCTTTCTTCGATTGAATTCTATTTGTATTTAAAATGGAGTGTTTTTGTTACTCTTTTGTTGTTGAAAGGTAACACTTGATTGTATTTTGTCTTGTGATCTTTGAGAATGAAGTTTAATTTCACCAGAATGAAATTAAGCATTGTCATTGTCCCTCCTTTTAAAAATTTGCTAAGTACAGTTTTAACACCAAACATGTTTCAGATGTAATCGAAGTTCCAGTTTTTCTTTTTCAAAGAAATTCACCAGTTCATGTGGGTGAAAAACTAGCTAATTAAAAGTTAAAAGTAGAATGTGTGCAATAATCTACATTTTTCTGTAGCTAGAAGCATTGTCATTAATTACCACCGGTCACTGGTCTTAAACTGTTAACTCATCATTTCCTACAATTCTTTATCCATCCTTTCCCTCCTCCTTTTTTTTTTCTTTTGCAGACATCAAATAGGACTTTTGACATCCCTCTGACATTGTCGGGAGCAATAGTTTTGCGTGAGAGATTAAATTATGAAGAAAAGTCACGTTATTTTGTCATTGTCCAAGCAAATGTGAGCATGATGTTTTTGGGGTGTTTATTATGTATATGATTGCTTTGGAAGAAAACTTGAAAATATTTAGATGTTTTTATCTTGCCCTATTCAAGCAAGCATACATTATTTCTCAAATTTCCCATTGAATTTTTGCATGGGTTGAAGATTAGTTTAGACATCCAAACAAATAGTTGTACATAAAATGCCTCACAGAGCTTTCTGCAAATTAGGGAGACATTAATAGGTAATAAATATGCTGATGATGTTCAATTGTGTATCTCTGCCCCTAGATTACTACATGATACTCTCTATGTTCTGTCCTGGCACTGTGGAGATCTGAATGGGGAAGAATAGGATTCAACAAAATCCCAGCCAGACTGAGTGGCTATGGGTTTTCTAGATGAAGTTTTTTCCATCTTTGGTTTGGAGGAGGGTGGCATTCCCCCACTCAGGATCAGTGCATCATATGGGGTTCTTCTGGACTCACATAACCTACTTGAAGAATAGGTGGCAACTGAGGCCAGGAAGGCCTCTACATAACTTTATTTTCTATTCCAGTTGTGCCATTCCTGCATCAAGGTTAGCTTGTGGTTACTTATGCCAATCATATTTGTGCAGCAACACACTCTACCTAGGGCTGCATGTGAAAATCAAATCATGGAAACTATAATAGGAAGTTAAGGGTATAGTACACAACATCATTATTTGCAGACTGAATTCCCAATAGACTTCCAAATCCAGTTCAAGGTGTTGATTGTCACCTATTAAGCCCTGCATGGAATAGGAGAAACTTATTTTCAGGACCACTTTTCAGGAACACATTTCATTTGTGTTGTCCCTCATGCTTTAGTTCAATGGACATATTTTAGTCCTTCCTTGAAGTAATGTCATCTGGAAACACCTAGAAAGTGTGCCTTTCCCATTACAGCAACCAATCCCTGGAATGACCACTTTAATATATGGTTAGCTCTCACCCTATTGACCTATAGAAAGACCATAAAAACTTGTATCTCTCCTTGGGCATGATGATTGATGCTCCCACCAGGGTGGTGTAAAGTAAATTTGAATTGATGATTGCCTATTAATTGCTGTTGTGATTTTAACCACAATTGGTTTGTTGTTTGCTTACTTTGTTGTTTGCTTATTGCATGCTTTTCAAAGTTTGAGTTGGGGTGGCCATAAATGTTTTTAAATGCATATTTCAAATCTCTAAGTGATGAGATGGCACTTGCATGCTTGAAAAATCAGCCAAATGCTTTTGTTGTAACACTGTCTTTCATATATTATTTTACTGGCACAGCAAAGTTTTGATTCCATAAAAGTGTATACATACCCTGCATGCATACCTATCCTTTTTCAGTAAATAACATTATAGAAAGCACAAAAAGAGAGTAATAAACAGTAAGCCAAATAAAAGAGACACATGAAATGAGAAAGAAAAGCTAATGTCCAGTTAAAATTAGTTTATATCAATACTATCCCTATTCTTCTCCATAATTTTCTACCATTGCAAACCATCTTTGCTTGGACCAAGTCAATACACAGTTTTTTTTTTTTTAAATGCCTTCTCACTTTATTGTTTGTGAGGATTTCATCAATTTCATGCAATTGTTTTTACTTTCTCACACCCCATAAATAACCCAAGTGACATCTATTCATAGTTTTGACAATATACTTTCATCCCCTCGTCCCTAATAAAAACCTCCTTCACATCACTGCATGCATTCCTGAACTGCACAAAAAGTAAGAATCACCCATTACATCTTCCCCTTTTTCTTGGTTTCACTGACATACAAGAGACCTATTTTATTTATTTATTTAATAAATAATAAATTGTGCTCTATACCATTTATTCCTTTTACATTCCAATTTGTAATCTTCTATAGGACATGGCACCATAGATATTGAATTCTGCCCATCATGCTTTAGTCAGCTGAGGCTTTTACATAATGCATTTTAGTAGATAGAGATGGCACAGAATAGAAGATTAATGAAATATATGCAAGCTAAGACCTTTAATCTAGTTTTTAATCATACTTACCTGCACCCCACTAGACGGTATTGGCAATATATCAAGACATACTTAGGATACCAGGAAAATACATACATACATACATACATACATACATACATACATACACACACTTATGTATGTATGTGTATATGTGTGTGTATATATACATACATACATGCACATTATTCTAATATGGGTTGTCTTTCTGACATAAATGGTAATAATAATGTTGTGTGGTGCAAATTTAATGTCATTATTAACCTTTGAGGTAGAACCTTTGGGAGACATTTTATCTAATTAGGTCAGGTTGCATACTTTTTTATTTAAAAAAATTATACACATTATATAATAAAATAAATTACTTTATTATAGATCTAGAGCAGCAACATAAATACATGAAGTGCAGGTTTAGAATAAGTAACTGTAGTTGATAGGTAAATCCACAATAATCATTCTACAGTATAGCAAAACTATGAAATCAATTAATAATTGTATTATGTCAAGTCTTAAACCCTTCTTAGTCCCAGAAAATAACATTTCCCCCCAAAATCAAATGTTTAGTGCTGAAAATTCAAGCAGAGCTAGTATGTATTGCCTTCATCTCTGAATTGCACAGATTACCTACAAAATACTTAAACTGCAAAAAAAATAAAATAATAAAAAATTAAAAAAAAATCCATCTTTGCAGAATTTCTACTCTCACATTTGTTAATTAGATATGAATTACCAAAAGATAGATTTTGGCTGAATATTATAGAGAAATAAGGAGCAATTCAACAGTGGAACTCATCATGAGTAACAACTGGACAGCATCTATGAAGCATACCTTAATTAGAATACCTGCACTGACAGCGGTTAGAATCGAAGTGGGGAACGATGATCCCTTTATGACTTGTGGACTTCAACTCCCAGAATTCCTGAGCCAGCCATGCCTTTTGTAAATCGCCTTTTTTGACACATTGAGGGTCAGATTCTCTGCTGCCGAACTTCTGCTGCAGAAGTTCCCATGAGAATGTTCACAAAAGTTTCTTCTAAGGTTATAATTATAATTCCCTTAACTCAAACTCAGCCCTTCCTTCCTCTTCTCCCCTTTATTAGATATGACACAGGCAGGGAAGGGAATGAGATGGGAAAAGAGCGAGTGCTAAGAGAGGATGAGATGTGATCAGAATATTACTGATTAGAATCACAATTGGCTCCTGCCAAACCTGAATATGTACTGCTATTTCTAGTTCTGTCCATAGTTTCAGATTAATTTGCAATGGTGCTCTCATTTCCTGTTCCTCTGCTGTTAACCTATATAAGCTTGTGTGTCCCTGCTGCTTAATTGTCTTCCATCTAGCTTCTTATTGCTTGTCAGATTCTTGTGCCCCTGGGGGATTTCATTCATCATATGCCCGATCCTTCCAGAGTGAGCAGTTTGCTTCCGTCTGGGTATAGCGGAGTTGGAAATTTTAAACTCTAAAGAAGAATATTTGTAGCTCAGGGCTGAAATGAAGGGTCCTTGGTGCTCTCTGAGCTTGCCTGGTTTCTTACAAATGTTTTATTAGCCTAACTAGGTAACATCATCAATTCTGACAATATTACCTAGTTAGGGTAATGAAATATTTACAAGAAACAAAGCAAGCTCAGAGAGCACCAAGGATGCCTCTTTTTAAACTTTCTCCAGTTTAATATTTTCTTGTTTTTAATTTTCAACTGATTCAAGAGAAACTTGACAGAATGTAGGAATGGTACATATGGATGTCTTCCATTAATCTGATCACCCTCTTCCATGGATCAGTTACCAAGGATGAAGCTGTAACTGTCATTCCAAAATACTCTATAACTGTTACTTTATAACAATATGTGTAATAATATTTCACTACAGTTCTTTATTGTAAGACTAAAAACGGAAACAGCGCTCAGATTTCAAATTAAGAATCTGTGCAGTCTGACAATCTTTCTACAATCTTGAGTAAGGTTGGCATACCATATGCGTTGGTCTGAGTTCGTTTTTCCTGCAGAGCACTTAATCATTTCTGTTGAAAAGCAACAGAATTGACTAATTCTTCTTCCAGAAAGCAAGAATAGATGGAGCGTGTTTATCAGGGCTGACTGATAAATGATTCAATAATTAAAACTATAGAAAGTTTTGTAGAGAGAAAGGGGATTAAACTCCCTTGTAGTTCTGTGAAGAAAACAATACTTATTGCCTCCAAATTTACAAAAAGAAACTTTAATCACAAAGTATTTTTTATTTGTTCCTGTCCTCAAATATTTTAGGGGAAAAAAAAAACCTTTTCATTTTGCAAGTTGTTTTTTGCACATGGTAGATTTCTTTGCTATTGGATAATTAGCTTTATTTTTCAGAGTTATTGGAGAATCACTAAAAGTTAGATTCTACATTCAGCATTCTCTGAGACACATTTATATATTTGTGTTTGATGTCAGCTAAGTCCCACAGAACTATTCAAGGAATTTAATAACTTGAAATACCAGGAAAGGAGAAAGAGGCTTAATGGGAAAATGTAGAGAAGACATGAATATCTTGGAATAAATATATAATGAGAGAGGTAGAAACAACAGACATACTGTATGCCTAAATTAATGGGGAAAGGTTATCTATGATTTGGTAAAAAAGAAAATTAATGATAGGAAGAAATAAAAACAAATCCAATTTGCCACCCGATTTAAAAAAAGAAAGTAAACCTCCCATCACGGTCTTACTGCTATCTGGAGTCTGGCAGTTCATTACTTCTATCCACATAATTTTTCAAGAACATCACAGGATTCAGATTGAAATTGCATGTTATGAAATGATAAATAATTTTGCAGGTAGTCCTTAACCGATGACCACAATTGAGCCCCAAATTTCTATTTGTTAAATCAATTGTTAAGTGAATTTTCCCTCATTTTATGACCTTTTTTGCCACAGTTGTTAAATGAATCATTGCAGTTGTTAAGTGGATCATGCAGTCATTAAGTGAATCTGACTTCCCTCATTGAATTTGCTTTTTGGAAGCCAGCTGGGACAGCTACAAACAGTGATCAAATGACTCCAAGACAGTGCAGCTGTCATAATTTTATGCCAGTTGCCAAGCCCTTTAATTTTGATCATATGACAATGAGCCACGGTGAAACAGTGGTTAGAGTGCAGTGCTGCAGGCTACTTCTTCTGACTGCCGGCTGCCTGTAATTTAGCAGTTCAAATATCACCAGGCTCAGGGCTGACTCAGCCTTCCATCCTTCGGAGATCGGTAAAATGAGGACCCAAATTATTGGGGGCAATAGGCTGACTCTTTAAACTGCTTAGAGAGGGCTGTAAAGTGATATATAAGTCTAAGTGCTCTTGCTATAAGTCACTTTTTTCAGCGCCACTGTAACTTTGAATGCTCAATAAACAAATGGTTGTAAGTCAAGGACTACCTGTATCGAAAGACATCATTCTTCTTTCTGGAGGAATTGCAAGAATGGTCTTTAAACATTCTGTTTTCTACACAGGATCGAGCTCAAAATCTTGTGGAACGAAGAACAAGCACGACGACTCTCACTGTTGATGTCCTTGACGGGGATGACCTTGGACCAATGTTCCTTCCATGTATATTAGTTTTTAACACTCGGGACTGCCGGCCACTCACTTATCAAGCTAGTTTGCCAGAACTCACTGACCCTGTAAGTACAAGCCTGTTAATTGAATTCATTCATTCTGCATCTGTATTTAGTCACCACTAATTGTGCAGCACAAGCTTACAATCAGCAGACTCAACAGAGGCCAGCCGTATATCCTACTATGTCAGAGACAGTCTCATTTTTGCAGCTACATGCAAATTGCAAAACCTGATTTATCAGACCCTTGAGTGGATTCTTGTCAGGCTTCACACCCAGACTGGCAGTAAATCATATACCTCGAGACACTTAACCCTTAATTCAACTCTTAGCTAGACTTGACAGACGTCTCCCAGGTGTGACTTGGCTAAATTGATATCTTTATTGCTCCGAAGAATGGAACCTCATTCATAACACTTGATTATTCACCTTACTATAAAAAAAGTCTCTGAGACTTTATAAATCTATACTCTAGGTCATGGGTGTCAAACTTGCTGTGTCATATTACCATCATGCGACGTTTTTCCCATTCATGGAGCTGGGTTGGTCGTGGCCTTCAGGTAACACATCCAGCCCGTGGGCCACCAATTTGACACCCCTGCTCTAGGTTATAACACTCTGCTTTTCTAAATTGACTGGTCACTTGATGGTTTGGGAGGTGATGTAATGGTATGTAAAAAAGACCTTGGGAGACTGGGTAAAGAGATGCTAACTGATGATCAGATGAGTGTAGCTCACAGCTGGATAATGAGCAGAGCAAGAAGGTCAGAAGACACCCTCCCTAATTTCTCAGGCTGTAAAGGAGACAGATAGCAAAATGTACTTTCAGATTTGCAAGATTAAGTCAATGTAAGTTTAAATAAAGTAGAATTAGGTAATTTGATCATGTTACCTATCTTGTTTGCCTGTGAGGCTGACAGGTTGATTGAAATATATTTAAATAGCAGCTTTCACTAGACTGGGAGTTGCTGAGTTCTGCCTCTCAATCTTTAGCAGTGATTTCTTAAGCCCATCTAGCTATCATGTTTATTATGTAAATATTACATAGATATAAAATGCTAAGTATTTATTGGTCAGATACTTTCCTATAACCCACATCATACAACTCAACTCCTGCTGAGCCTTTATCTTAACTTTATAGGTTTTTAGTATTTACTGAATTATCAAAATATTCATTAGCTAACAACTTCAGGTTTTGGTTTATGTGTTTTTCCCGAAACTGAGGAAAATGAGATTAATTAAAATATATACTGTATCATGGACATAAATAAATCTTTGTATACATGAGAAAAATTATAATTATTTATGACCATCCTCATGTAATATTTTTATTTGCTTAATTTTTTTTTATAATGTACATTGACCTTTCCATCTACTTTTTTTATCTTGTCTTAATATCTTCTATACTTATTATATAAACAGTATCACCATCCACCCTTCCAATCCTAACATTATTTCAATTAATTATCTTATCTTATCTATTGTTAATCATACATATTCTCTTTTAACTTTCATATTAGTTCATTCTTCATCCTAATAAGTTTAAGTATACTCAGGGTTGCCCTTCTACCATTCCATCTCCCTTATTTTACAACAATTCTTCTTCTCCTTCTCCTCTCTTTCCCTTCCCTCCCTCCTTCTATCCTTTTCTACTTTCTTCTTTCCTCCTCTCCTTCTCCTTCTCTACTTTACCTTCCTTTCCCCCACTCCTCCTTTCTACCTCCCTTTCTAACCTTCTCTCCTATTCTTATTTCCCCTCCCTTTCTTCCTCTCCTTTTCCCTTTCTTCTATTCCTCTCTCCTCCGTCTCTTGTCCCCTTCTTTCTATCCCTTACTCCTCTTTCCATTCTCTGTCCATTGTTGTATTTTTCAATTCAATATTTTCCAAAATAGTATCCAAGCAACCCCGATTTTTCTCCATTTATTGTATATGTTTCTCAAAATCCCCGTCAATTTTATGTTTTCTATTGAGAAAACTTGTTAAAAGTATTGTCGTTCATGCCTAGAACTTTGTAATGGACTGTGAGAATAACTATGGAAAACAGGAGGGAGATCTGCAATCCTGATAAATGAAGTCTGAACCCAAAGGAGTGGAAGTTCAGAAAGCATCTCAGAAGCATTTCCCTACTCCTCTGAAAAGCAAAGGTGGGGAGGAGGGATGTGCTTTCAGATTTGCAGGATGTCAGTCCTTCAAGATAGTACAGACAGTATCAGAGTTTGTTGCAGAAATCACATCCAGAAAGCACACACAGATAACTGATTCAGCAGGATTCATTAACTTCTCTTTATATACATAATAGCACATACAATACCAACAGCAGGTTCTTCCAATGTGGTAGAGAGTTACAAGCAAAAAACACAGGCAGAGGAAAGAACAGCAGAGACGAGTTTCAGTTTCAATTCAGAGAGCAGGCTAGGCTTTGCACAGACTCAGAGCTCAGCACAGCATACTTAAGTTTCTGTTTCCAAACAGCCCACATTGGCTGACCCAGTTGCTATGCCTATTCATTGGCTGACCTTGTTGCTATGCCCTATTCCAGTTCATGAATATTCTGACAGACAGGAAACCAAAACCACAGGTACTGATGTTTTCTTTATTGTAAGGTTACAGTAACAAATATTGCAAATCTGAAAATATTTTCCCTCTATTCTCCTGTTTTTATTTTCCAAAGAACTAGAAGGGAAGGTACCTTCTGAGATGTTTATCCCACCATTGTCTGATAAACAATTAAGATTATTTCCACTTGGTGCTAAACTTGTTACTGTGGCCATTTCCATAAATTGCTTGCTGGTTTTTTCCATGGTGATGGGGGAATGATAGAAGAATACTGCAGCACTTTGAGAAGTGAGAGAGCTCCCATCATTGGGTAACTGTTTTTGTAAGAGTTGCAATTGAGCTGATAGTTGATTAGCTTGGCTTCTCATAATGTACTCAAGTTCCATGACCTCAATGGATTAGTTCATCTCATGCATATGGAAAGCACTCATCACCATTACCACCTTCACAGCCTACTGGTCAACTGGTTGAGAACCTTGCTGTCAACTTGCAAAGCTTTCAAGTTGCCATGAGTAGGAGGGAGGGATTAGGGCATATTTCGGAAACTTGACACTTGCAATATTTTGTTTGTGTCATAACCCTAGAAATAATTGATTAAATCTGTTGTTACTATAATGTAAATCATCCCCAAAGTGCCAATCCTGTAAAGGAAACTTTCCTAGAGTTGTATTATTTTCCCCCTTTGTTAAGAATACACATTCTAATTATAGTTGATGTCTCTGCATTTTGAATCAGTAGGATGGGCAGCTAACACCAAGGTTTGAATAATGTTAAGTGCTAAAAATGAAACAAATTCTTGAGAAACTTGTAATGGATTTTCTGGGTGCTAATCTTTTTAGAATGCCAATATCTTACCTTCTTTCCTGCCATAACTTGATGCTAAAACAGGTATTTAAATATAGTGAGAACGTCCATATTAATGGTGTGGAATATTTGTGATGTGTTACGTAGCTCAGAAATAGCAATAGCAGTTAGACTTCTATACCGCTTCACAGTGCTTTACAGCCCTCTCTAAGCGGTTTATAGAATCAGCATACTGACCCCAACAATCTGGGGCCTCATTTTACTGACCTCGGAAGGATGGAAGGCTGAGTCAACCTTGAGCCTGGTGAGATTTGAACTGGCAAATTGTAAGGAGCCAGCAGTCAGCAGAAATACCCTGCAGTACTGCATTCTAACCACTGCGCCACCATGCCTCCTAATGGGGGGAAGTAGTATGTTGCTTGCCTTCAACCAATAAATATGTAATGTGAAAGAAAAATTCTAAGTAACAGAGGCAGCCTATCATACAAGCTGTTACGTACCAAACAATTGTATGTAGGCTTAGCTTCTAACTGAACACAAGCCTAAAGCATAATTGCATAGTTTAAAATCACAAAGACATTTGGGGTTTCATAAATAAAGTATACCCCACATTCCAGATGTGATGGAATGCCAACAGATCTTGGTAGCTCCAAAGGGGGTAGCAAGACAGTTAAAAGAAGGGATCAGGACTGTAAAGGATTCTGGAATCCAGGGGACAAATAAACACGAGAACTGAATTTCACCTTAATTACACTAGATATAAGTTGTATGGAGGATTGGTTTGGTAGGTTTTGAGATTGTTACATTACCGTACTATGGTAGCAATATTTCGAGAAATCTAAGTAGTTCTTGTTCTCCAGTTTTTTCAGCCTTGGAAGTCCTGACATTATCAAAAGGTCAAGGGCTGGCTATCTATAATAAATTGTTTCTGATCTTATTTCCAATTTCATAATTGCTCTTCATTATGGAGAGTTAGCAAATCTTTTGCTATTTTGTTAGCTCTTGTTGTGTGCTCCACTGGCTACCCTTTGGCTCTGCTTAAAGTAATCCTCTCCCAAATAGAGATAGGACTGTCACAAGATCACAGGTCAACTGTAAGAAATGCTGATATTCATGCTTTCTGGTGTACAAAGTTGCTAGATAAGCTTGAAGTTAGACTCTGGTTGAGCAGGTCTCAGCGAATCGCCTGGGGCACAGTCTTGTGATGTTATTTGGGCTAAGTTCAATTCTGTTACTCCTGATAAAGCGAACAAGTTCCTCAAACTATGCTTTCAGCCACGCATCTGCTAAAGGCTGCCTAGTGCCTAGGAAGTGACTTCTGGATTGGTCTATATCAGGGATGTCAAACTGAAGGCCCAGGGGCCGGATCTGGCCTGTGGGGTGTTTAGATCTGGCCCGTGGGGCTGTCATAGAAAGAGCAAAAAACAACTGGCCTGTGGTGCCTCTGCAAGCAAAAACAGAGTTCGTGCATGCCTTCCCACCCCGAGCTCCATTTTTGCCGGCAGAAGGAGGCAGGAGGCTGTCATGGTTGAAAATGGAGCTTGGGAGCCCATTTTTGCTGGTAGAGTGCTTGGGCCACCACAGATACCCGTGACACAAGTGACGTCAAGCTGGCCATGCCCAGTGTGGCCATGCCCACCCCAGTCCCCGAGGTCAAACACAACCCTGATGTGGCCCTCAATGAAATCAAGTTTGACACCCCTGGT